CAGTTCTAGCGGGATCACCCACTTCATTTTTAAATGAACCTTTAGTTAATAGCATAAGTTAAATAGTTAATAGCACTGCAGGTAAGAAAGCGTCAATGGCTTGTAACTCTTGCGAGTTTGCGATTCTATGATTTGGACCAAAACTTTGCCAGGAGCTATATTTTATTCCTACGAGTTGTCGGGCATGGGACGCTGCTTGTCATAATGGAATAACTCTATTAATCGCGTACACAATGCTCATCTTTCTCGCTGCTGACTTGACGGAGAGTTTAAAGCGTAGGAATTTCACAACACAACCAGAAAAATCAATGCTTCTGAATATTGAATTCAACAGATGGAGGAATACATATGAAAGACCACGTCTAAGAGTATCTGGATATGACGAGAACCAACGATTTCTTTGGTAGGGGGGAAAGAAACAAGAAACCGGTTTTGCGGAAGAAAATGCAGAACACCCTGTAAAAATACCACCAGTAGCTGGTGTAATTGCGGACAGCGGCCAAACTGTCGTGTTGCGCCTAGTTCTATTCAATATTGCAAAGCTACGCAAGCTTAAAGGCACACTCCGCGTCGAAAATGGTGATTTATGCAGCTCAAAAACTGGCGATATGATGGTAAATAACATAAAGTCCAATAAAACCTGCCAAAATTCCCCGTATAGAACTGCGTGCTGAGACGCGCTTGCGCAGTGGAGAAAGGCGAAGAAAGGGCGTATGCGAACGAGTTCTCGCAAACTGGTGCTCGCTCCTTCTCCTTATCACCTCACTACTATCATTCAAATCAGAGAGTTAGAAGCGGAACAGCCACACCATCCGATAGCAGATCAAAGTGAATGTTGGGCGTTGCCGTGGCCAGTGGGCGGAGCCGTGGTCCCAATGCGAGCGCGAGGCACTTTCCTCACCTATTTCTGAGCTGCGAAAGAGGTACACCCTCCATGTAGAGGGTAGGGTCATCGAGGACGAAGAAATAAAAAAAATGTGGCGGTTCAGTGGGTTGGTTGTGGTGATGTGAAAGAGGGAGAGAGTGAGCGAGAGTAAGCCTTTATCTGGCAAAGCACAAACGGTCCTGACGAAATAAACAAATGCTGATACTTGTTTACAGTACAACAGCTCTTTGCCCCGATGCTTGGGGTCGAGTGACATCATCGGCGACGAGTCTCCTTTATTGCTGATACACACGACTAGTAAGTTTTTGAGTTACATGACTTGGAAGGGAGGGGGGGCGTGGGTGATCGCGCAACTCAAAAACAGTCTACCCAGGAGTTGCGCAGCTCTAGAACCGCGGAACTCGCGATAAGCGCTAACTGACTGCTGCCGCCGATCGCGCGGCCAGATCGCGAAGTATGAACGCATCAGGGAAGGGTCACCTTCAATCCCAATTGCCTTTGCGCCGAGTTTTTACCAGAGTTCTCGTTGTACAAAGGGTGCGAACGCATGTGTTCTTTCGCGACAATCACTACCAACCACGATGAGGGACCGACGCTCTGTAATGACAATGTTCGCACACCCAGCCATCGAGTCGCATTCATGAACGCATAAACAAGTCGTAAGGTACTGTATTTGTTTGAGGTGTGCAATCACACCAGCTACCCGTGGTATTTATATGTGATCTTGGTTTCCGTCCTGGACATTGGAGAACCGCGAAGCATAACTCCGTTTTCTCTTCCTCTCTCCTTCTTCTCTTTCACTCTTCCATCTTCCTTTTCCCTCGGATAGTACTTGCGGTGAAAGATACTTCCGGACTCTCACATTGAGGGCTATCTGTCAACCGCGAGACATTCCTCTTGTTTTCCTTTCTCCTTCAATCTTTCACTCCTTTCTATCATTTTCCTTCCTTATTTTTCTTCAAATGTTTGTCCTGAAATGCGATGAGAAAATACCTCTAGACTTTCGCAGAGAGCACCCGGTTAAAAGAAGCCTTTTATAAAATGCGGAAATCCCATCCATATGCGGAAGAGAAATAGTTGCAAGTTGGATGCGAACTGCTCAGGGCGTCCCAGAAGGAAAAAAAATCCCAGAATTCTCCATGGTCGTCCAAGATGAAAGCTCACTCCTATACGGGTCATCGCATGTTGTTCCCTCATGACCTCTTAGTGTGCTAAACGATCCTGGGAACGGGTCCATAGGCATATTTCTTGCTTCTATGCGCTTGCCAAATTCGGCGAAAAAAAGCGAAATCGGATCGTTCGATGGGTCGCGCGGTCGGATTGCTCGACTGAATCGCGATCACGAAGTATGAACGCGCTCTTACGACCGGGGCCCGATCAATGCCCATCCACTCTTTAGGCGCTCTCCCAAACCTCGATTCCGCATTCTCTTATTCTCCTGTATCGCAAGGTGAACGCAGCGTTCTGTGTGACCAAAGAAAAAAGAATCTCCGGTATGGAAGGACCAATGTCTTCGTGCAAGAGGTCATGATTTCAAATGTCCTGGGTTAACTAGGCTTGAATGCCCCACCTTACCGGTATAGGGCTCTTAGGTTGCGTTCATATTTTGCGGCCGCGTCCACCAACAACCGCTTACGTTTCGAGCGAACGCCGACGCCAGCGACAAGGAAAGTATTGATGTTAATCCAGCGAACGCTAGCGTTCACCAGCGTTTGCGAGCGTACAGCACCGTCCAGGAGTGGAGAGTATGGGGAAGTAGGAGGGCAGCAGATAGCTGGATTAGGCTCGTAGAAATTGTGGCGTGTGCAGTCGAACCGTACGACTACTGACGACTACTGAAGTACAGAATTGTGCAGTCCTAATATACAGTGTAGTGCAGCTGTTCGGTGCGGTTGCACATGCCGAATTTTCGCAACGCTCGGTCCAACAGTCTGCTGCCCTCCTACATCCGCATACTCTCCACTCCTGGTGAACGCTGGCATGCGCTGATGCAGAGTATGGTCGCAGCCTTACGGTTTTGCTGGAAACATTTTCACAGGCAGGGCACATCGTTGTTGGGGAAGAGGGGGTCGTATTATACATTTTTGGGAGGGGGGGGTCGTATTCACGTTTTGGGCGTTGTGGGAAGTGGCGCGGACTTTAGGCCCCCCCCCCCGGTCAACGCAAAAATTTTTGGTAAAAAAAATAGGGAAGTTTTCGGGAAATTTTGGAAAAAAGGGGCAGGAAGTTGGGGAAAATCTAATTGTAGAGGGGGAGGGGCAAATAGAGTCGACTAAAATCCCCAACCAATGATGTGCCATGTTCACAAGAGAAATCCAATTTGTTCATTCATTGACCTTAGCTCCGAGGCAACCTTTTTTGTTCTGTTTTTTTCCACTCTATTCACGCGATCCCTTGCCGCAAGAGCGCAGAGGCGGCCTTCTTTCTTCGCGATTAGATCGCGGAGATCGCGCGATTCTAGCGAGCGGATCGCGAAGTTTGAACGCGGCCTCGGTGGAAACCGTGTGGCCCCGCCCATCTCACTTGTGTGATCACTATGTTACAGATAGTTTCGCATCCTGCTGTAGCATATATTTAGCGGAATGATAGCCGTTCATGGTGGTGAGGATTTCTCGCTTTCATAATTTCTTCCCTTTAGTTTAGCCAATTGGTTTTTAGTTTTCTTCCGCCTATAATATTCATGTATTGTACTTGGCCTTTTCCTTCAGGAGTAGGATTTCGTTGTGAACGCCTTCTCAGCACCGCCTGTGCAGATGCTCTTCGTGATGGGAAAGAGGACGTGATATCAACTGTATCGGTATGTTAACACATCGCTCGGCTTTCAGGCTTTCATACTTTGCTGTATTGGAGCATAGGAGATATGGAGAATGCTCGTGCAATGAGGGATGTGTAGGTCTCGATCTGGCGAATTGGAAGAATAGGAAGTTCGGAAAACAGAAAAACGAAAGGAATGGATGGAAATCGATGGATTTATTCCTCCGATCCGCCAGGCTCATACTTATTCCTTCCCTCGGCACACGTTCCCCTTTTTACAAATCCTATTCTCCAGTGTTAGCGCGCCTTTGCATTTGCTCCCCAAGAAAGCTTAGGCTCAGAGCGCCGAAGGTCAGAACTCTTACCTATAGACCACAGAGAGAAGACGTAGTTCTGACTAAGTCTAAGGCTGTTCTTGATTAGAGGACCGTAGGCGCGGCAAAGTGCCCCCCCCCATTCTTCCTCAGTTACTACGTAGCGCTATGATACTATTTTTTTAAAGCGTTGACTATAGAACTTGTTTAAGTGTGATAGTGGCAGTTCGACGCCTCAGTTTGCGCTCCGGTTTTATCGGGGTGAAGCAGAGGCAGATTTGACCTTAGGCGGAATTCGAACCCGCATGCTTTCCGGCATCTTCAACTATAGATGGTAGACAGCCCTCTGATCACGGATATGACATTTCTTTTTATCCCAGCGTCATTTGACAGCAATATGTGAGAAAGTGCATGCTAGGGTTACCTGGTATCCTAATCGCAGCTATACCATCTACTCTTTCAGGCGTCTGCACCACGACCTTTTACGGACTTCCTTTTTTGGATAATCTAGGTTATATACTGAGAGATTTCGCGTCCCAATCACGGAATATTCATTTCTGATGGGAGCCTTAGGTTACATTGCGCTTTATTTTTATTTGTTTTTGCAGGCTCTAGAAGACAATCCCTTGTTCAATTGCGGCTACGGATCAAATCCAACCATAACTGGTACTGTTGAATGTGAGGCTGGCTTCATGTCATCTGATCATCTTCGGTTTGTTATTTGTTGTATTCGTTCATGCTTACATGTGTTCCGAATAAGGTTGTTCATTCCTATCTGCTTTCGAATGCGTTTTGTATCGGACGTCATCATGATGAACGGTACTACGATCTTTAACACAAACATACGACGAACAATGTCAGTGGACTGGGGATGCTGCAAACAAGGGAGCGATTCTGCAATGTAATCCGAGTTTTGAAGTCGCGTTCATACTCCATTTCTTGGATCACGAAGTATGAACGGGCTCTGTGTTTTGTCCTCGCGAAGAAGGTGGTGGGTGGATCGCGTTTTAGGGATACGGCCCATATTCTGACTTAGTCTCTTTAGCTGGATGGCCATGATGTGGTGGCTTGAAGAAGTCACTGACTGCTCATTTTTGGTCGTCTTTAGCGTTTTTTCTCGATTTACTGCAGTTGATTGATGTAAAAAAATTCAGCAGCCAAAAATTTAGCAACCAACCCTAGAAGACTCTTTCGTATCCTATAAAAATTACTCCCGTTACCTTGAAAGATATTGTCTTCCTGATCAACACACTTGGGCTATTTACCCTTCACTGCCCTACCCTTCAAAATTCGGCCAGATTTTGATCGAATGTTTCCCTCTAATACTGTTTTGGTTTGGACCTCGGTCTCCTTTACTCTCCTCTGTCGACAGTTCACGATCAGTACCCTTACTTCAACCAAAACGTCTCCTAACGGGTAGGTATTCTTTACTTTAATTCCAATTTTCGTTTAGATTTGGCGCTGTTGGGGCTGTGTCACGTTTGCAAAACCCGTGCCAGGTTGCCAAAGCCATTGCCTTTGCCGACAATCACAAAGGACTTGTGTCGCCGATGGTTTTAGTGGGGTCTGGAGCAGAAGAATGGGCAGAAGAAAAGGGTAAGGGTCAGTTGACAGTAGATCTAATGGCTTTTTAGTTCTATAGAATCCGGCTCAAAATTAGCTCCATATATTCTGTAGCCTAGGGTTTATGCTGAGAGACGCCGAGACAATGGTTGCTCCTCAAGCAGTTCAAGCCTGGAGGAAGGCGCGCAGTGCTATCGATCAAATCGGACATCTAGATGGACTGAAGATGGATACAGTTGGAGCCGTTTCGATCGAAGTAAAATGTTCCTTCTTTAACTTGTTGGAGGCGGCATGTACTCCCGGGAGTACACGCGAAACCCCTATTTCGGTCATTCGTACAGTATTGCGAAAACGCGCATATTTTTTGTTCTTTTTGCGACTGATTATATTCTACTAGCATACATTTACACAATTAACACATCAGTACGAAGAAAAAATTGTAAAAGTAAGCCAAAAACAACGACGGAACGTGAGTTCTGGGCGAAAAGGCCTCCGCCTCGGATGTGTTAAAGGCAGCGTCCGCGTTCAGTTGAGATTTTCCTCTCCCTTCGTGAGCAGGTAGTCAGGTCCGCTGAGGCAACAACTACACCACTTTCGCGGCGCAAAAACGCGTGAGGAGAGCCACGATGCCGTCGTTCTTCTCATTGGCCCAACCTACAATCATTGGCACCGCCCTCCACTCATTCCTAATGGTTATCTGATGGTTGTTTCGCTGCTGCTTCTCTCCACGTCGAGTGGTGAGAGTGAGGTGATAAGGGAAAACAGCTGATATCAACAAGTGAGAACTCGTGCGACCGCACCTTCTCTTCGCCTTGAGCACGTACAACCTCAATTAAGCAAGGGGTTCTATATAGAGCCTTTCCTATGATTTCTTTCTGATTTTGCTTCACTAAGGGGTTACTTGCTACCTTGTTATAAGTATTTGAGCCGCATAACTCATCAAAATTGAATGCGGGCTAAGCCTTTAAGAAGAAATTCGAATTCTACACTTGAATGCAATGGCAGCCCTTTAATAAGTTGTGAATAGAAGTGGCATTCATAGCGGGGTTCACCTTGCGTTGCGCGGTAAGCGACGCGGGAATCGTATGTGGCTTACTAGGAGGGGGTCAGATGTGCTGATGTTAGTAATGAATAGAGCAGGGGCAACCGCAAATGGATTTGTGTGAGGGATAGGAAGCGTGGGCAATGGGTGGAGGGAAATACTTCTGGTAGTTGAAATATAAGGGCTTCTGTCTCTATTTTCCAAATACGGTTAGGCCTTTACTTCAAGTTATGTATAATTCAAGCATATCCATTTGAAAGTACGAAACTCGTTTGCGTTGGAAGTTCTGAGCGTTAATTCTGGCCCGAGGCGGCAATATATACTGGACGATTGGCTTTTTTTGAATAGGCCTTCCGACATCTTCTAATTTTCAATCTATTCAGGAAGACGTTGTTGAGGCCTGTACATCTAGCGGTGGCATTATGCTGAAATCGCCCGGTGGGTGTGTGTTTTTTCATATTTTTTCGAGCACTAATGAATCGAAATGACTTTGCGAAAAAAACCTGAGCCTTTTTAATTCACAACTTGCCTGGTGCGACTCTCAATAAACCTCGGCATCGTAACAGTAGTAGCTTTATTCAGTTTTCACTTTTATTCACTCTACACGAAACTAGCAGTGGATTTGAATGTAGGGTACAGCGTCGTGATGTGTGAAATGGTGGTGTCAGTAAGACCCTCCCCCACGCCTTTCCCAACACCTACCTACCACCCTAGAAGTTCCCAGCTTCTTACAATTTTTCCGAAATTCCCCACACTTCCCAGTTTTTCACCCAAAAATTTTCCGTGGAGCGAGGGAGGGCGTTGGAAATGTATATAGCCAATGTGAAACGGGAAAAACCGCGAAAAGTCAACAACCGGGAAAAAATTTTCCCAACGCATCAAATTCTCTCGCCTACGACCCCCTCTTCCAACAGTGGCCAAGTACGACCTCCCCCTCCCCAGCGGCCAAGCGCGATTCCCTCATGTGTTTCACACAATGATGCTGTGCCCTATTTGAACGCCTGACGGTCCGACCATATCGGATTCTGGAAGATGAAGTCTAGTCATGAAGTTATCCAACCAAATGCAGGTCTAGTCGTGAGGTTATCCACCCAAATGCCAAACCACCTCACGAGATCTTGGAAAGCGAACAAATTTACCACGTAAATAATAAGTAGGCCACCGTACCGCACAAGAACACGAGATCAGCTCACGGCGGACAATAATGGAAGACCTCGGGCTAGTTGAGCTCGAACTTCGGTTGGAAAGCTAATCATATGTAGGGAATTAGCTCCCGCGTAATTGACAGATAGTCTTCCCTGTGACTCATTTTTGGACTCCTGACCCAGATCCAAAATTCCTTCGGAGCTGAAGTGGGTGTTCCCTTGAATATCAGTGGTCGCGATGATGTTGAGAACTTTTGCAGCAGCCACTACTGAATCTCTTTAGGACGTTTGGGTCACTGCGCCATATACGGAAGTGGAATGTGGGCGGAGCGACGTGGGAATAAAAGTATTGGAGTGACCGTAAGCGGTTGCGGAGAAGCAGTATCAAGAGCGAATTTCTCCAGATCGCTCGCCGACCGGTTGTTAAATAAGTCAGTTATGAGTGTTCTCATTCCCTCACGTTTAGTTTAAGACGTTTCATTTTTTAGGAATCCCGACGAACTGACATCTTCAGTGGTACATTAAATTTGTTCGCTTTCCAAGATCTCGTGAGGTGGTTTGGCATTTGGGTGGATAACCTCACGACTAGACCTGCATTTGGTTGGATAACTTCATGACTAGACTTCATCTTCCAGAATCCGATATGGTCGGACCGTCAGGCGTTCAAATAGGGCACAGCATCATT